CAATCCATCGATTTTTGAAAGAGGGAGTTGATTTTGAAGGAGATTTATGATTGTTGGGAATTTGGGGTGGGTGTGCGTCTACGCGCATGGAAGCTGCTTGTGTGAGTCTATGGGTCGCTCGAAACGCTACTGTTGTTCTGGCCCTGTAGCGCGGTCCCGGGACCGCGTTTCTGGACCAAATTACCTTTGCAGTGGTACAAGTAAGAGGTACTAGTAGTGGCCCGCTGACCACGCGCGGTATAAAAGCCTTCTCGTCTACCATGCTTTCCAACCGAGCCTTCCTTTCTTCTGGGACGGTGAATTGGACCAGATTCGTTTGGGAAGATAGCAGCACTGATTTCTACATGGGCATGGCCCCGCAATTTATTGTGTAGGATATGTGCGCATTCAGTGAGCCTCTAAGATTCTGAATAGAAGTAGAATGCGTGCCGCATCTCAAAAAGGATTTGTGGACTGTGAGAACTCCATCCTGCATCCTTCATTTACAATTTGTCCACTTTCCAAAATTCGAATTTAATCCAACTTTTTTTGTAGCATAGCAGTTTTTGCCAGGACTTTGCGTCCGAGGTGGTTTGACACCTCAGCACGCGTACCTCATCCTTTTGATCAAGCAAACAGGATATGCGCATTGAGGATGCGGAAATGGTAATCCGGAAATGCATCGCGACCACGCTACAGACGCCGGAACGGCAGGTGTGTAAAAACGCACTAGAAGCTTTCAATCGTAGAAGCCTCTCGTTCGGAAGGAGAAGCTACTCTCGGAGAGAAAAAAATCTACTCTCAGGGACAGGGGAAAAGTAGCCTAATCTACCGAGGATCTAGGAGAATCTCTAAAAATCATCACTTTAGTTCTGAAAAGCAAGGCTGAGAGAGTAAATGTTGTGGATCCTTTGTATACAGGGTGAGAGCTTTGAAGCGGGCAGTCAGGAATGGCGCCACTTGTCAGCCCGGATCATATTGAACTCCTGCTCAGACCAACCAAGCCTTTTGGGGTCAGCTAACTGGTGCCAGAATTGTCTGGTAGGATAGCAACGCTGTCTTGTTTTTCGGGTCCCACAATTCACGGTACGGATTAAACCATCTCCATAAGCCTTTAGAACTCTCAGTGCATGTAACATGCGTGGCGCATCCCGGAAGGAGTCAATCCACTCCGAATGCTTTCTGTTCACATACTCTAGACTAGCATAGGAACTTTTTCATAGAATCGATGTATCGATCATCGCACGAATCTCAGCCATCCTATATTTCATGGACCATAAAGTGAAGGAAACTACCTACCGCTTGCAAATGACGTGAGTCTTAGGGCGATCACAGATGCAGACGTCTTTCTGTGGGAAAGGCACCGAACAGAAAGCGTTGGGACGTGAAAGTGGGCCACGTGGTCCATTGACAATTCTTGGAGCGAATGGTTGCGGTGGAGCTGCAGGATTTTTTCGAGGCGGTGAAGTAAGCGATGCAGCCGGAGGTTGCGGTGGATTGTAGCGAGGTGCACGACGTTTCTCCTAAAAGAACTGCAGTTATCCAATGTCATACTGTACCTTCAAATCTCTCACCTTAAGAGAATCGGGCTTTGGCAGTAAATCGGCCATTAGCGGACGCGGCTCGATGTATGTTTTGACGACGGTTTTGCTCGACGGTGTACGCACCTATGTGTGGGACAGAATCATCAAACATTTTTCTGTGATGGAATGCATCGGAGGGTTGGACCAAGACCGAGTGGGTGTCAGAGATCGTATCAAGTGATTACCTCAGTGTTTGGTCGTGACTTTGTCGTGTTTGGCGGTGTATACGGATTGGTGATAGTATCTTGAGAGGGTTTCCCCTCATTTCCCGCATACGGACCGCGACCACCCTCCAGTAGACGACGCGGCACGTAATAGGCTTGCGTAGGGCGCGAGCTGCTGAAAAATTATTTAGGTGGGGGTTACAAAAAATAGCTTAACAGCTGAGTGAGATAAAATGGCTACGGTGGGCAAAATTGACGCCGGGCACTGGCCTGCTCATGGCAGTCACAACGTCTTGAACTACTTCTCAGGAAAAAAAAAGTTGCCGAAGGGGGGGGGGGCTGGAGACTCTTCCACGTCATGTCTGCTTGTCTGTTTTGTGCTGTTTTGACCCAAGAGTGAGTAGTGGAACCCTTTTTCCCATTTCATGAATGGACGCAGACAATCAGGCATGTGCATAGTCGCGCCACCACTTGCCCCCCCCCCCCCCTCCAACTACCATTTTCCCTTTCTTCTAGAAGTTAAATGTTATTTCACAAAACAACATAATGGTTCAAAACGACTCACGAGGGCGGTCTCACTGGGGCAGACACGTCCATTACCTGAAATTCTAAAGTTATCGACCCATTACTGCGAAAACTATTTCCACTCGACGAAACGATGATGGCCGGAATTCCAAGAACAGAAAAAGGAAACATTAAAATGCCAATGTGACAGTGATTTTTAAATGGGACTACAGTAGGAGACCGCTGTAAAAAGCGAAGAAAGAGCCATCGTATTAGGAGGGAAGTTTGAAGAATGGATTTCACGTCGACTGGCATTGGCTGAACTTCGAGAGGAGATGGTTTCTAAGGAGAAGAATAACGAGAAATTCACGAAAATAGGCTAATAGCATCGTTGGAATGAGGTGATTCTCATCTGTCATCGATTACGTAAAGGATTCTACGGAAGTCGGAAATCGTAACGACGCTGTCTTCCGATTTTTTCAAAGAATCAAGTGAAAGATCCTGATGAGCAATGAGGAAAGCTGTTGTCCAATAAGCGCAAAAATATCATAGGAAAGGAACACCAACATATTTTGGAAATATGCAGGGGCTTCTGGGTGGAAGCTGCACAGTGTGAAAAGAGCCCCTCTCCCACAATCCAGGGTTCAAATGATCCTTCCACCTCTACTGGACACTTGAACTGGCATCAGCTTTCTTCGGCAGGGATAGAGCATCAGCGTTATCTGGAAGGATCCAGACTTTCCAGAAACCGCCCTACGTTCCAATTGAATGGACATAGCATTGAAACGGAAATTGAATACGTGGGGTGACCTGCGGGATTGTTCAACGTCCATCACATTATCCTCGACATGTTTGATTAACCCATTTTTCGAAAGCAGTGCGGTGTAAAAAGGACTACATATTTTTGGAACAGATGTTAGTATAACAACATTTATTATTATAATTGGAGAGCACTGTCTGCGTGGGTTCAGATGTCTGCAGCTACATAGGTGCCTCGGACATTAGTGCTCCTCTGTGCTCTACCGTGTCAGTAGGAAAAGGCGCATCAAGGCTGAAGATCTTATGGTTGACCGTCTCCGCCCCTATGATCAGCATGGAGTCTGTCTTGGGCGAAAGTGAATTGGGGACAGGCTCCTCTCTAGGTCCGTCGTCCGGTTCCGGAGCGAATTCCATCCTGGCCGAAAAAGCTACTGTCTCTTCAAATTTGGTCAGTTAGAGCAGGATTTATCTGGAGGGATAAGGTCTGTCATTGTGCATCAGATCTCCTTCTTGAAGTCATTGTACGGCCCAGATCGCCGTCAGATGCCACTACGGCCGTAGATAGCAGTTGAATGAGTCGCTCTTCGTTTAAAAAGTTTGATTGAGGTCAAATAATCATTCTTTGTATTATTAGTTAGAGTTACTTATTAGGAGTTTAAGATCACTATAGAAACATACATATCCATCCCAACTGTTGTCGTAGGCGGGTTCCTTATTTCTGGTGAAAAAGGCAGATTAGTGAGTGGGTGGTGTGAAGGATTAAGGCCAGCGCGATGTAATCGGTTAGGCGATCTTTTTACGAATACCACAAAAACACATGAGATGATCTCAGAATCCAATAGACGTGAACCTGATTTCTAGGCGATAAGGAAATCAACGGGAAAAAAGCCAACAAGATTGAGTGCTAATACGTTTGTGTGGAGCGACG